GGGACCCGCACCGGCCCCCGGGACCGTCAACAAAACGACTCGGGATGAAAAACCGGCCCAGGGGAATGGCTCGAGACCTCGAGGGGTCGACGTAATGAAAAAGTCATGACGTCGGGGGTCTGGGCCCGGAGGCGCTGCCAGCCAGCAGCAGGGCGTGTTCCTGGATCGACGGGGCCCGCGTCCAGGCGGCCCACTGCTCGCGAGAGCGCGCTCGGGGGGGTCTGGCTGGAGGCGGCGGGCCGCGGGCCTTCTGTCGGCTGGACGCGCTCGTTGCCGTGCAGCGCGTGATGGCAGCCGTGGAGCTGGACGTGCTGAAGGCCGACCACGGCGACGGCGCGCCCCGCGTGCGCCAGCGCTGGACTGCCCCGAGGCGCAAGCGGCGCGCCCCTCGCGAGGGCGACGGCGCGGCAGGCGCGGCCGCTCGCGCGGAGGCTCCGCCGCCCGCGCGGCGCCGCGCGACGCCGCGCGGCGTCGGAAGCAGCCGCAGCCGGCGCCCTCTTCGCCGGCACGGCAGGGAGGGCCCAAGAGGCGCCAGTCTGGGTAGCCTGCCTCCGCTGCGGCTGCTGGGCGCCGACCTGGCCGCGGCTGGCCAGCTTGCCGTGCAGCGGCTGGGCCTCGGTGTTGCCGCCGCGCGCAGGCCGCCCTGCTGCTGGAGCCGCCTGTCCCCGGCGGGCGGCGCGGAAGCCGGATGGCGGGATGCGCTGCGGCGGCGCCTCGCGGCGCGCCCGTGTGCGCTTGACTGAGTCGGCAGCGCTCCCCCCCCCCCCCGCACCCGCTCCCGTCCTCCTCGTCCTTTTCGTCCTCCTCCTCCTCCTCCTCCTCCTCTTTCTCCTCCTCCTCCTCTCTCCTCCTCCTCCTCCTCCTCCTCCTCCTCCTCCTCACACATCCTCTCTCCTCTTCCTCATCCGCTCCTTCTCTTCCTCCTCCTCACGATGATCATCCGCCTCCTCCTTCTCATCCTCCTCCTCGTCTTTCTCGTCCTCATCCTGTTACATATTCCTCCTCATCTCCTCTCCTCCTACTCCTATATTCATTATCGGTTAACCTAACCCCAACCCCATGAAGCCTCCCACCAGCCCACCCCCTCCCGCCGCCCCCGACTTGGGGATATACCCTCCAAAACCCGAGGGAGACGGCCTATATCCCCATCTCGGGGGGTAAATCCCCAAGTGGAGAAAAGGCCACCTAGATGGGGATAGGGTTCGGATAAACGATGCCCATATATCCTCTCTCCTCTTCCTCCTCTTCCTCCTCCTCCTCCTTCTCCTCCTCCTCCTCCTCCTCCTCCTCCTCCTCCTCCTCCTCCTCCTCTCCCTCCTCCTCCTCCTCCTCCTCCTGCTCCTCCTCCTCCTCCTCCTCCTCCTCCTCCTCCTCCTCCTCCTCTGCCTCTTCTTCTCTGCCACAGGGCGCTCTGCGGGTGTTTTTTTGGTGGGTGGGTGGGGGTGGGGGCGGTCTGTTTGTTCTTTGTGTGGTTTCATGGTTGACGAGATGCAGTGCCCTCGCGCCCTGCGCCCCTGCGCTGGAACCGCTGCTGGCTGCGCGTGCCTTGCCACAGGAAGAGGTCGCTGGCACCGTGCACCGTCGCGAAGTTGAAGCAGGCCTTTTTCGGCGCGCCACGCTCGTGCTGTCCCGGCCCACCGCACCACGCTGCCCGCAAGGCCGCGCTCGCGGTGCGCGCGCCCTTCGGGGATGCGGCGCACGGCAGGCTGCGCCGCCGGGCCAGGGCTGCCGGGCGCATCGCGGGAAAGCAGAGGCCTTTGGAGAGGAGCGGCCAGGTGCGTGTCGCTGCGCGCCCTGGCTTCCCTTCCTCGTGGCCCTCCTCGCGGGTCCTGTGCGCGCGGAGGCGCCATAGGTCGAGGTCCGTCGTCCTTGCCTCCACCGGGGTGCCGCTCTCTGAGCCTCTCATGTCGCGTGTCACGTCTCCCCGCGCGGGCGCGCCGAGGTCCTCATGTTCTTGACCCTTCGCGTATCCGCGCAAGCGGGTCCTGGCGATCCGGACTCCCGTCCGTCGAGCGCCTGCATGCCAGCTGGCCCATGCACTGGTGCTGCCGCGCGGCTGAGTGTCTCCAGTCTGCTTTCGGCGTGCCTGTCCCGCTGCGCGCACTGCTGGCCAGTCGCCGCCCACTCGTTCCTTCGCCACCCCCACGGGCTTCGTCGCACCTTGCCCTGCTGAGCCCAACGCGTGCTGCCCCCCGGACTGGTGCGGGCGCTTGCGGACCGCTACCCCTCGAGGGGTTGCCCCTCGCCGCGGTCACGGGACACCGCACTTCTGGCCAAGTATCGCCATTTTGCACCCCCGGCTGCTGCTGCTGCCGACGGCACCCCCACTGTGAGCGCCGCGCGGCCCGCCCCAGCTTGTCTCACCTCCCGCTGTCTTCCGTTGTCTCCTCTCTCCTCTCTCATTTGTGCGACTTTGGGCTTCTGCCGTTTAGCGGTAGCTCTGGACGGCGCGCGGCCTTTCTGCTTGCTCTCGCGATCCAATAAATCCCCACAAGGCCAT